TTTTTACTCTTCCAGGCAGAGCAGTTCTTCTCAACCTTTGATCCTCCAGATGTTTGGGACTTCTATTCCCAGAAGTCCCAGCCAGAATGGCCAGAATTATATGTTTTGAAGTTCCAGGCATTTAGTGGACTAAAGAGCCGTTCAAAAGCAGAACTCAATGCCTTGGAGGGCCCATCCAGATAGTACCTTTATCCCAGGAGCTTCCGCAGCGAACAGGAGGGTGGCTAAATGTCATTTCCTTTAAACAAGGAAGCAATCGCTACAAACAGCAAAAAACCGCAAGATTTTCAGGTGCAGGAATATTCGAAAATCCGCATCTTTGAATGTCTGTATGTTCCTGCACTTGGAAAACACGTGATATTTTTTATCTGGGTTTGTTCCTGGACTTTAGATGTTTGTTCCTGATTGGTCAGTTCCTGAAAGTAAGGTAACAGTTGGGTAGAATGCAAAAACTTTGTTTGTGTGCCAGAAACTTTATGAAATGTGTGGAGGGCACAGTTTTTCTTGGCAGGACAAAATTGTGGCCCCCAGTCAACGCTGTACATCTTTTTACAATAAGAGCAACCAGGAACAGACATATATAGCCCAGGAACAACACCATGTTCTTCCATGCCATAAGTACACCATGAAACCTATCTGCACAGATGGCCCTGCAGCTGCAATAACACAGGAACGGAACTTATACAATGATTCGCATGTTTGCATCTTAAGGTTTTTTTTCATGCCAAAATTTCTGACGGATGTCCCATGGTGGACATTTTGGGGGCTGCCTGTGGGGTTGCCTTAGCCAGAACTCCCAGAGGCACAAACTATTGCAGTCTATTGCAAAAGACAGACTTTGAAAAGAATTCAAGAATTCTGAGCCCAGGAATTTGATTCCAGTGCCAGAACAGAGGCACAGCATATAGTCCTTGCAAAAAAAAAGAGTACACTGCTTAAACTTTTTTTTCCTTTTCAGTAGAATAAATTAAGGTGGAGTAGGGGAAGGAAGACCTTATTCTGTTGCTCCTAATAGTAAACAACTGAGAACCAGAAAACCTTGATATTCTGCAACAAACCCCTCAGAGATCTTTTGGGATATTTATTTATTTATTTGTTTACGACATTTATATTCAGTCCTTCTCACCCCGAAGGGGACTCAGAGCAGCTTACAAGTTATATGTAAATACAATGTATTATATTATGAACATAGCACAATATTAGTATTATATATTACTATATTGTACTATACCACTATACAGCAATATTATTAGTAATATTACATGTAATATATAATATACAATTATTATATCGTATTATTATTAGTATTTTATTAGTATCAATATTATATGTATATGCAGTATATTATATTATTAGCATAGCACAATATTAGTATTATATATTACTATATTGTTGCTGGGGGGAGGGGCTCCCAACTGATGAGCCAGGAGACATTGTGGATATCCAGAGCCACCTACTGCCCAGCCTTTCTTGGCTCTCCTGACAGCTCCAGAATCCAGGATCTTTTCTCATCACAACGTGCACAGTTACATGGAGCTCTGCCAGTTCTGCTCATTTTGGCATTACTATCTGCAGGCTTTTAAAAACTTACTTTTTATAACTGTTAATATAGTTTTTATTTATTTTCATTTTACATGTTTATTTAAAAAAAACAGTGAAAAAATCTATAAACATGTATATGTGCATGAACCAATACAATACTTCTTAACATCTATACAATAATCTCACCCCACCCAATTTAGTGACTTCCTGTCCCTTGGGTTGCAGACATACATATGTCATTCCATTCTTCCTTCCTATTGCATTGTTTTTTCCGTTCTTCCTTCTGGCATCATTTTTATTATTTATAAATCCCCTACACTGATTCCAACAGGTTAAATTATGAAGCCTTCTATACAAACTTCTCTTTCTTTTCTTTTTTTTTCAAAGTTTATTTATTTATTTATTTATTTCGAAGTTTTATATACCGAGCTTCTCACCTCTTAGAGGGACTCAGCCTGGTTTACAACCATAAAAACATACAATCAGTAAAATATCATAGTTCATAATTACAATAACACATTTAAAATAACAACTATATTTAAAACTATGGTGGTCAGTCGTCATATTAAAAACAAGTATACCTCATCTTCCATCCACAATCCTAGGGTGCTGTCTCATTCATCGAAAGCCTGTCTCCACAACCACATCTTCACCCGTTTCCTGAATGTCAGGATAGACGGGGCGGTTCTGACCTCCAGTGGGAGAGAGTTCCAGAGTCGCGGGGCCACCACCGAGAAGGCCCTGTCCCTCGTCCCCACCAGGCGCGCTTGAGAGGCCGGTGGGACCGAGAGCAGGGCCTCTCCAGACGATCTTAATAATCTTGATGGTTCATAGGGGAGAATACGTTCGGAGAGGTAAACAGGGCCGGAGTCGTTTAGGGCTTTATAGGTTAACACCAGCACTTTGAATTGTGCTCAGAAGCTAATTGGCAGCCAGTGGAGCTGGTGTAACAGCGGAGTGGTGTGCTCCCTGTACCCAGCACCCGTTTAGAAATGTTTCCCAGTCCTTGATAAAATTTTGTTGTGTCTTTTTTTCTTTGTTCATCATTGTTAATTTGTCCATTTCTGCTATTTTAAATAATGTTGATGATAATAATAATAGTAGTAATAACTTTATTTTTGGGTCCCTTGGTGGAGCAGCAGAAACAATCAAGCATGATCATCTCACACTAGAAACGATCATGCATGATCGTCTCACACTACAACTCTGTTGAGTTCCAGGGCCAGAGAAGCAGGTGGCGAAAACAGAAGAATGACCTGCCTCAGGGGAGCGTACTTGCTCCATTAATGTTTAACATTTACACACATGACCAGCCACTGCCAGAAGAGACAGAGAGCTTCATCTACGCTGATGATCGTGCCATCACCGCTCAAGCAGGGAGCTTTGAAATGGTTGAACAGAAGCTCTCTGAAACTTTAGGTGCTCATACTACCTATTACAGGAAAAACCAACTGATTCCTAATCCATCTAAAATGCAGACATGTGATTTTAACTTTAAGAACAGACAAGCATCTCGAGCTATGAAGATTACCTGGGAAGGAATCCCACTGGAACATTGCAGCACACCCAAATACCTGGGAGTTACTCTGGACTGTGCTCTGACTTAAAAGAAGCACTGCTTGAATAACAAGCAAAAAGTGGGTGCTAGAAATAATATCATACGAAAGCTGACTGGCACAACCTGGGGATCACAACCAGACACAGTGAAGACATCTGCCCTTGCACTTTACTGCTGAATACTCATGCTCAATGTGGAATACATCTCACCAGTGGACATGGCTCTTAATGAGACATGCCACATTATCACAGGATGACTACACTCTACACCAGGGGTCCCCAAACTATGGCCCGCGGCCCACCAAGGGAACTGCCAAGGGCACTTATCTGGCCCGTGGAGCAGGAGCACCCCCCCCCCCCCACACACACACACACAGTGCCCCTCCCTTGGCTGCTCACACTATCCGTCAGGCCCAATGGGCACGTGAGCCAGCCAAGGGCAGTCCTCCGCGTGGCCTACTCGCATGTAAAGCACCTCGCGAGGTGCTTGCGAGTAGGCCGCACGGGGCTGCTCCTCCCTTGGCAGGCTCACGCTGCCCATCGGGCCTGACAAATAGCGTGAGCCAACCAAGGGAGGGGCACTGTGGGGGGGGGCACTCCTCCTCCGCGGGCCCGATGGGCAGCGTGAGCCAGCCAAGGGAGGCTGCCCCGGCGCTCCATGCAGTCATGCCAGCCACATGACCTTGGAGGTGTCTACGGACAACGCCGGCTCTTCGACTTAGAAATGCAGATGAGCACCACACCCCAGAGTCAGACACGACTGGACTTCATGTCAGAGGAAAACCTTTAACTAGGAAAATTGTGGAAGATACAGGGTGGGAGAAAGAACTCTTGTCTGTTGGAGGTAGGTATGAATGTTTCAATTGGCCACCTTGACTACCATTTCATAGCCTGACAGTTTTTAGGGAGAATCCTTTGTTGAGAGGTGATTAGCTGGCCCTGATTGTTTCTTGTCTGGAGTTCCCCTGTGTTTGAGTGTTGTTCTTTATTTACAGTTATAATTTTAGAGTTTTTTTAATACTGGTAGCCAGATTTTGTTCAGACTAGAAATAGGAAGATTTCCCATTCTCTGCTCCTGGAATTACTGCCTAAAGAGGGCTAGAAAGAACCCCCTCTAAGGGTCCTTCCACACAGCAAAATAAGATATGTGCAATGTGCATAGGAATTTTTTAATTGATTTTTTTTTTAAAAAAAACTATAGTCCGGCCCTCTAACGGTCTGAGGGACCGTGAACTGGCCCCCGGTTTTAAAAGTTTGAGGACCCCTGCCCTACACCACTGGAGAAATTATACAATTTAGCCAGTATTGTACCACCTGACATCCGACGGAAGTAGCAGCCAGTAATGAAAGGACCAAGGCAATGATATCTCCAGTCCATCCTCTGTTCAGATATCAGCCAACATGCCAATGACTTAAATCAAGAAATAGTTTTCTAAGATCTACAGAGACACTCCCAGGAACACCTCAGCAAGTGAGAATCCAAAAATGGCAGGCTAAAATCCAGCACCTTTACCAGTGGCTGAGACCAGATGAGAAACTTCCTCCTGGGCACACAGAAGACTGGGTGACCTGGAAGGCGCTGAACAGGCTGTGCTCTGGCACCACAAGATGCAGAGCTAACCTTAAGAAATTGGGCTACAAAGATGAGTCCACAACATGCAAGTGCGGAGAAGATCAAACCGCAGACCACCTATTACAATGCAACCTGAACCCTGCCACAGCGACACCAGAGGCACTCCAAGTGGCCAGCTTCTGGTCAAAGGACATTTAGTATAATGTCAAGTTTTTAAACTTTGTTTGTTTTTTTAAATGCATTTTAACTGTATCCTCAACTCTCTTCTGATACAATAAATAAATAACCAACTATCTCCCTGCATCCCCAATGCGTCCCCTGCACCTACCTTCTGGATGATTGCCTGCTGGGCCACTCTGATGTTTCTGGGGGAAGATAACCAAGAGTTGGAAAGAGTTGGAGAACGGGGCAAAGTTTTATCAATGCAAAGGCATTGGCACATGGTAAAGGGAGATTACAGGAGCTAAATTTGTCTGCTTCAGCTCCAGGACAACCGGGGGTGGGGGGGTTGTGCTGCTGAACAGAAGTTGCACAGGCTGAGAGTGTGAACTGGATCAGACTGGTCTCCCCCACCCACATCAACCTCAGCCAATGAAACAGGCTGGCAAACAGTCTAGAAGAGATACCAGCTGTAGCATGTGTTTGTTTTAACTCGCTCGCTTGTCCACAGACATTTGTGTCATTCATGTCTGATAAGGTGGCAGCCTGAAAGGGAAGCCAGAAAGGAGGAAGAGGAGGAGGAGAACCAACTCTGTGCCTATTCAGCATCTGCCATTGGAGGAATTTAGCTTTTGGGACTAATAGCCATGAGAGTGGTGGAAATGTATTTATTTATTTATTCCCTATATTTATACTCTGCCCTTCACATCAAGCACCATATGGTGTCATCACCATCATAAAACAATCAAGCAATACACTAAAACATTAATACAGTTAATTAAGACAACTGATTAAATATGCCAGTTAATAGCCAAATCCAAGTCTGGGTCAGTTCATTATCACGAGTTGCCTAAATCGTCTTTCCACAATTGCTGCTCTTACTGGTCAAACTCCTGGTCCCATAACCAAGTCTTAATTTTCCTTCTAAAAGACAGGAGAGAGGTGGCCAGTCTGATTTCCCTGGGGAGGGAGTTCCACAGATGGGGGACCACTGCTGAGAAGGCCCTGTCCCTCATCCCCACCAATCGCATTTGCGATGAGGGTGGGATCGAGAGCAGGGCCTCTCCAGATGATCTTAAACTTCATGATGGTTCATAACAGGAGATACCTTCGGACAGGTAGTCTGGGCCAGAACTATTTAGGGCTTTAAAGGTTAAAACCAGCACTTTGAGTTGTGCTCGGAAGCTGATCGGCAGCCAGTGGAGCTGGTGTAACAGAGGGACTGTATGCTCCCTGTACACCCCTCCTAAGCTGCCTGGTTGCCAACCGTTAGACTAGTTGAAGCTTCCAGGCAGTCTTCAAAGGCAGACCCACGTAGAGTGCATTGCAGTAATCTATTCGGGATGTAACAAGAGCGTGGACCACAGTGGCCAATGATGACTGGATGGAGACTGAGTCCAAAGTGTGGGATATTAGCTTTTCTTTCCCACAAAAACTGAGAGCCAATGTGCTGTGATGGTTGGAATAAGGTTTTTGGACTTCTTTCAGCCTGCGGATGGGATTCAATTTTAGACAGGTTTTCAGGAACCATATTGCAGGAATGGCAAAGGACAAGGAGTAAGGGGCAAGACGGAAAGCAATAATGCTATCACATTTTGGCTTCAGGCTTGCAGGGTCAGTAGCTAAAGCCTTAGGAAAGGGACTTCAGTGTTTTAGAATGGGATACCACAGGGAGAAAACCCATGAGAAAAGCTGAGAAACTATCAAATGATGACGCTATGGGGAAGGGATATGGCTTTCTGAAGACTCCCCATGGGCCAGACTATTTCTAGTTGAGATCTCATTTGCTGATGCATATAAACCCAGCTGCTATCTACAGACCCACTAAGAAAATCCAACAAATGCTACGTTCAGCAAAGGACAAGAGGGGTCCTCTCACCTCTGCAGGAGTCTACTGTATACCATGCAGCAGTGGACAAGTCTACATAGGGACCACCAAACACGAATCAAGGAACATGAAAGGCACTGAAGACTAACTCAACCTGAGAAGTCAGCCATGGCAGAGGACCTGGTGAACCAACCTGGACACAGCATATTATTTGAGAACACAGAAATGCTGGACCACTCTAACAACCACCATATCAGACTACACAGAAAAGCCATTGAAATCCACAAGCATGTGGAAAATTTCAACAGAAAGGAAAAAACCATGAAAATAAACAAAATCTGGCTACCAGTATTAAAAAAAATTCTAAAATTAGGACAGTAAATAAAGAGCAACACTCAAACACAGGGGAACTCCAGACAAGAAATAATCAGGGACAGCTAATCACCCTCAACAAAGGATTTCCCCAGGCAGTAACAAGCCACACCTAAAAACTGTCAGGCCATCAAATGCTAATCAAGATGGCCAATTGAAACATTCACACCTAGCTCCAACAGACAAGAGTTCTTTCTCCCACCCAGGACTTTCCACAGATATATAAACCCAATTTTCCTAGTTTCCAACAGACGTCACAACCTTTGAGGATGCCTGCCACAGATGCAGGAGAGAATGCTTCTCTCATACAGCCCAAAAAACCTACAACAACCCAGCTGCTTGAATTTTTGGACCCTCTTGCAGGGCGTGTGTGTGTGTGTGTGTGTGTGCAAGTCATTTCTGGTGTGAGAGAATTGGTTGTCTGCAAGGACATTGCCCAGGGGATGCCTAGATGTTTTACCATCCTGTTGGAGACTTCTCTCATGTCCCTGCATGAGAAGTTGGAGCTAACAGATGGGAGCTCACTCCGCTCCCCGGATTCAAACCATCGACCTTTTGGTCAGCAGTCCTGCCAGCACAAAGGCTTAACCAATTGTGCCACTGGGGCCTCTGCTCTGCAGGGGTGACTTATTGGGATTGTCAGAATGAACCCATGTGTTCATTAATTTATAATTTATTATTATATCTTTGCACTATAGGAATAAGAAATGACAAGCTACTTATTCTCTTTTGCCTGGTGACCCTTGCCTCTTGTATTTGTCAATTATTAAGATTTCACAAATGAGAGGAGAGGAGAATGCAGGAAAGCCCAGCTGTGAACCCTTTTATGGAACCCCCTCCTCTGACTTGTTGTTTGGCAGCACTGTCTAAATATACCATGGCTGGCAAAATGCTGGAGTTATAAATATCCCCCATGCTCATCCCTAGTGGCATCCAGCCCTGCAGCTCTTCTGGGGTTCAGGCCAGTGCAGAGCTCTCCCAAAGAAGGCACACAGCCACAAAGTGTTAAAGGACACCACACTTGTCCCTCAATCCCATATACCATTTGAAAAATTCAGGGACTGGAGAACTCTCTCTGGCTATGAGAATCTGAAGTAGCAGTTAACACTGGCATATGTTTACTTATTTATCACTTCTATCTTTGTTTATTCCACTCATCCCAACAAGCAGAACCCCTCCTCCCTGCGTTATCCTTACAATGACACTGTGAGGTAGGTCAGGCTGTGAGAAAGCAATGGCCCAAGATCACAGAATGAGTTTTTTGGCTTCAAGGTCTGGAATTATTCAAGTCTTAGTCCAAGTTTACAACATGTTGTTGTTATTCATTCAGTCGCTTCCGACTCTTCGTGACCTCATGGACCAGCCTACGCCAGAGCTCTCTGTCGGCTGTCACCACCCCCAGCTCCTTCAAGGTCAAGCCAGTCACTTCAAGGATACCATCCATCCATCTTGCCCTTGGTCGGCCCCTCTTCCTTTTTCCTTCCTTTTTCGCCAGCATAATTGTCGTCTCTAAGCTTTCTTGTCTTCTCATGATGTGGCCAAAGTACTTCAACTTTGTCTCTAGTATCCTTCCCTCCAATGAGCAGTCGGGCTTTATTTCCTGGAGGATGGACTGGTTTGATCTTCTCGCAGTCCAAGGCACTCTCAGAACTTTCCTCCAGCACCACAGTTCAAAAGCATCTATCTTCCTTCGCTCAGCCTTCCCTAAGGTCCAGCTCTCACATCCGTAGGTGACTACAGGGAATACCATTGCTTTAACTATGCGAATCTTCGTTGCCAGTGTGATGTCTCTACTCTTCACTATTTTATCGAGATTGGTCATTGCTCTCTTCCCAAGAAGTAAGTGCCTTCTGATTTCCGGGCTGCAGTCTGTGTCTGCAGACTGCAGCACCTAGAAATACATAGTCTGTCACGGCCTCCACGCCAGTTATAAATCAGTCTTGTTGCTATAATCTTGGTTTTTTAATGTTTAACTGCCACCCAGCTTTTGTGCTTTCTTCTTTCACCTTGATTATAAGGCTCCTCAGTTCCTCCTTGCTTTTGGCCATCAAAGTGGTATCATCTGCATACCTAAGCTTGTTAATATTTCTTCCAGTGATTTTAACCCCAGCCTTGCATTCATGAAGCCCCGCACATCGCATGATGTGTTCTGCATACAAGTTGAATAGGTTGGGTGAGAGTATACAACCCTGCCGTGCCTTTCCCAATCTTGAACCAGTCTGTTGTTCCATGGTCAGTTCTTACTGTTGCTACTTGGTCTTATACAGATTCCTCAGGAGAGAGACAAGGTGGCTTGGTATGCCCATCCCACCAAGAACTTGCCACAATTTATTATGATCCACACAGTCAAAGGCTTTAGAATAGTCAATAAAACAGAAATAGATGTTTTTCTGAAACTCCCTGCCTTTCTCCATTATCCAGACGGATATTGGCAATTTGGTCTCTCATTCCTCTGCCTTTTCTAAACCCAGCTTGTACATCTGGCAATTCTCTCTCCACGTATTGCTGGAGTCTTCCCTGCAGGATCTTGAGCATTATCTTACTGGCATGAGAAATAAGGGCCACTTTACGAAGGTTTGAGCATTCTTTACAACATACAAGTTTACAATACAAGTTTATAACATACTCAGCAATTATTTATGTGACTGCTTGATCCATGGCTGGAGCACCAATACACTGGGCTGGTCCCAAGGGCAACCATAAATTCTGTACTGCCTGACCTGCTGTGGTGGCAGGACAAAGTCTGCATGGCCCCTTTGAGCTAAAACCAATTTGACCCTTTTGGCCAAATCTTCCCTATCACCAATGCTGCTGCTGAACAGATGCTGAACTCGTGAAGAGCTTCTAGCCACCCTAGAGCTTCTAGACATTGCTGGATATCACAAAGACTGCCAGAAGTGATTTCTGAGCCACTTCAGCCCTGACTTTCATGCCTGATCTTCAAATCCCAGAGTAAAAAAACAAAATAAAAAGATGGATTTAGAACAACCAACCTTTACATTTAAG